AAATAATTCTTACATTCTTTTTATATATATTTTTTTGTTTTTTGCATACTTATATACTGCCTATGCTCCTGTTTTATTTATCACTTCGTTTGTTTAGTTGTAGGAAAACCTGTTTAGTTTTATCTTGTTTTACAGGGAAATAATAGAATCCTGTATCTTGTATAAATAATAATATAATAATACTGAAAATATGCAGGTCTCTTAGTGTAGAACAGGAAATGTCAAGAAAACATGCGTCTGAACTTTACTATAATGTTTGATCAGTTTCTGTCTGATTTGTTTCAGACAAAGCAAATCACATTCCTCATGTTTGATCAAACATCTATATAAAATATTAAACATAGCAGCATGCCTGCTTTACTAATATTCCTGCATACACACATTGTAACAGTGGCAAGAAACTACCCTACAGTATGCATGCCTGCATTGGTTAAGGAGAAGTAATTTGAATATTTAATTTAGCTCCCTGTCTGCCTTCATACTCTGCAGTGAGTAATTTGAAATTGTCAATTACATATCTTATATTTAATGTTCAATTTCAAGGTTGCAATTATGAAAATATATGTATGAAAAAGCAGTTTATTTTTATCATAATCTTTAGTGCATCCAGCAGTATAAAACACCTATAATACAATGTCAATGAATTGTAATTTTGAAAATACAATATTAAAAAAACTAAAATTTTATGCTTAAACAATAATTTGTTTTTTATACTAGTGTATAAAGAAATACAAAGAATCAATAATAACAGTTTTTATGTTGTAAATATTCATACAAGAATACTTTCAAGAAATTATTATTATTATATAATTAAATACATTGAATAATGACATTTTAGACCTGCATAAACTGATAAAAATGGGCAAATGATCCAAAAATGAAACACTGTATTTAGACATATTTTGTTTGCCTTATGATGATGGAGATGATAACTAATGTATTATTATTATTTTTATAACAATAATCATAATGATAAGTAAATAGTAATGATGATGGCAATGTTGAGTAGGAGACAGAGTAAGAGGAGGGAGAGGTAGCAGTCCAGTACAGGAAGAGCGAGGAGCAATAAAGCACAGAAACTAACAGCAGACACTTAATACTTAGGCGAGTCGAATGGCCGAGCGGTTAGCAGGGGCGCCACAAGCTATAGCCATAATATCGGCGCTGGTTCGAACGGCACGCTCGCCTATGGTTCTGGTGGTAGAAGAAGTCTTCTCGGATAAGAACTATAAACCGTAGGCCCAGTGTATACAATGGCTCGTGTGCACTAAGGAGATACCCCGGTGTACTGGAACAGACTGCCCCTGTGGTGGACAACGAGAGTTGCTGGTACCGGCTTACCGGGTGGCACAGACACGAAGGGACCCTTAGGGGCAAAGAAAGTCATTGATCGAGTTCCTAGTCCACATTTCAAGCGCCCTGAGCATCTTACATTAGATGGATTTGTGCGCTATATAAAACTACACTATTATTATTATTATTAAATAAATGATCCACAACCAGAAATAAGAGTAAGAAACAAGAAAGAAAAGAATTCATCTATACTACTTAATCATGACAATGTTTGGCATTACTGTACATGACCTATAACCTTACCAAAAATTAATTGGGAGCATAATCACATAATCATCTGACCTGTGTAATTTTCAAAATGTTTTATACATATTAACATTTGTTGATTTTTATTATTTATGTATAGTACAGAATATTATAATGTTTTAGTGTATTTTGTCACCTGTCCTTTCATATAAATATCCTTTTTTGTTTATTTCTTAATTTTTTATTTTTTTTACCAACTCAGTTTTTACTGTGTCAGCATAAACCGTTTCATAAGATAAGATAGAAATATTTGATTTAAAATTACAGATACTTGCACCAAAGAACTCAAGAAAAATAAAAGGAAATGTATAAAATCAGTAATGAGCCATATTATTGTACCATCCTCAAAGAGATTGAAGTTTAAACTCAGAATCAGTAGGCAATAGAAGCATTAGTGAGGTAATAACTAATGATTACTGAAATATGCAAGTTTCTGAGAAATGTTACTGGAAAAGTCAAACCGAATTTGCTAAAGGCAAAATGTAAAATATGATTCAGCCAGTGAGTGTAAACAGACTTCACATCTCCATGTCTAAATCAAATGTTAATTACATTCGCTGACTCTCAACAGTAAACATGAAACACAATATTGTCAAAACTGCATCATAAAATTTTAATGTACGACAATAACATTAAATTATGGATGTGAGTATTTGTTTCTTTTTATTTGTTATTTGCACAACTAACAAATTTGTGATGAAATGCACTTCTTGGAAATATGGTAGCAGGGGTCCGAAGTCTCCCGCAAGCCACAGGAGTATCCCAGAAATCAGAAGGCCTTCCGCACTCCTATGAGCAACCACAAATGTCCCGGAAAATAACATGTTCCGCAAATTAACGATATTTGCATATTTTTAAAAGGTTGTACTACTGTATTATCTTTGTCTCCAGGAAATCAGTGCCAATTGGTATAACCATCCATGTGGAAAAAAATAATAAATAAATAAA